TACTGTAAATATTGGCAGGGAAGTATTGGTAGTCATTTTGCCTAAAAGATGGAGACAGGACCTGAAAAACGTCAGCATGGTACTATCACCCAGAATGAGGATCCACATATTTATGTAAGTTAATACAGGTGACATAAATAATCTGGCAACTTAAATGTTAAATGTGCAGACATATATAAAGTATATTTATAAAGCCTTTGACATAGTACCTGGAATAATTTGTGTGTCATCAAGTCACATGTTTGCATACATGCAGAAATGAAGTAAAATAAGATTGAATTCCTAAAATAGGGTGAATACTGGCTAACACAGAGTCAACTGTTGTATACTTTCATCAATGATATTGAAAGGAATGAAATGCTACACCCTGAGGTATGTCAAATTTCAAGGAACTGGAACATACCAATTCAGCCTGTGTGTTGCGTTTGGAATTGTAGCAGAATTCAAAGATGGCAACAATGACTGCTACAGCTAGGCCACACAGTAATACAACAAATACTCCACCAATGTTGTCCACTCCCAAAGCATTTGCTTTGCTCTCCTTGCCTTTTTCATTGCGTGTACAAGTGTCACCAGGATTTTTCCACCATTTGTCATATAGCATCTGGATCTCTCCTCGCTCTTGTAGCTCCAGTATTGCCAGTGAGATCTTGTCCCGCCAAGGTGAACCTATAAGAAATGTCAATGATACAGAACCCACATCTTTATATTACTGTATACTACATTCCTGTTGTTGCAGAGACCGGGTCATTTAGAGACCAGTTCTGATAGGGATCAGGTAGGGAAAATTTTGAATTTTTTTTCAAAATTTTCGAAATAACAAAAATGCTGCAAATTATCTAAAAAGCGCACAAAACGAAATTTTTTCGAAATATATGAAATTTTTTTTGAAGCTGAAAATTTTCAAAATGTTATTGTTTTTGTGAGCTTTTTGAAAAATTTCCACAATTTTTTGATTATTTGTAACTTTTGAAATTTTTGTCTATATTTTCCCAACTCGATCTTTGCCAGAACCGTTCTCTGAAGGACCCGTTTTTTACCAGACACGATCAATATCAGCCGACCTGTCTCACTCTGGTTCTGGTTGATTCGATCTCCACCTCCCCTGATCTGTGTCTCAATCGGTGTCTACCGGACTCGATCTACGCCTCACACGGTTTCTGTCTCACTCGGTGTCTGCCTGACTAGATCTCTGAGTGACGCCTGTCTGTGTCTCACTCGATGTCTGCCGCATTCGGCCTCTTCCCGACACGGTCTCTACTAGACTCGGTCTGTCTCACCCGATCTCTGTCTCACTCGGTGTCTGCCGGACTCGATCTCTGCCTAAACCGGACTCTCTGCCACTCGGTATCTGCCGGACTCGATCTCCACCTCACCCGGTCTCTGTCTCAATCGGTGTCTACCGGACTCGATCTACGCTTCACCCGGTTTTTGTCTCACTCGGCGTCAGTCTGAATAGATCTCTGCCTAACCAGGTCTGTGTCTCACTCGGTGTCTGCCGGAATCGATCTCTGCCTCACCCGGTCTTTCTCTCACTCGGTGTCTGCCGGACACCATGTCCAACTTATCCGATCTCTGTATGAAAGCTTGTGTCACAGGCAATCACTTCAAAGAAAGGATTCGGCAGAGTTTGGCTCCGGTAGGAATCAGGTGGGGCAAATTATGAAAAAATATTAAATTTTTTGAAAATTTTCGAAAAATCAAAAAAGCCGGAAATTGTCTAAAAGCGCACAAAACAATTTTTTTCGAAATTTTCTAAAAACGTATAAGGTCCGAAATTGTCAATTTTTTTAGTTTAATGCGCTTTTTGAACAATTTTCTACATTTTTAGATTTTTCAAAAATTCTGAAAAAATTTGAAATTCTTGAAATTTTTTAAAAATTAAATGTTTATAAATGTGATGAAAAGCTAAAGTAACTAAAATTTTTCGAAAATATCGAAAAAATATTAAAGTTCGAAATTTTCATTTTTTTTATTTTTGTGCGCTTTTTGGACAATTTTCACTCGTCCCAAGTCTTGAGAAGTCACTCGTCCCAAGTCTTGAGAAGTCACTCGTCCCAAGTCTTGAGAAGTCACTTGTCCCAAGTATTGAGAAGTTCTTGTCCCAAGTTTTGAGAAGTTCTTGTCCCAAGTCTTGCGAAGTCACTCGTCCCAAGTCTTGAGAAGTCACTTGTCCCAAGTATTGAGAAGTTCTTGTCCCAAGTTTTGAGAAGTTCTTGTCCCAAGTCTTGCGAAGTCACTCGTCCCAAGTCTTGAGAAGTCACTTGTCCCAAGTATTGAGAAGTTCTTGTCCCAAGTTTTGAGAAGTTCTTGTCCCAAGTCTTGCGAAGTCACTCGTCCCAAGTCTTGAGAAGTCACTTGTCCCAAGTATTGAGAAGTTCTTGTCCCAAGTTTTGAGAAGTTCTTGTCCCAAGTCTTGCGAAGTCACTCGTCCCAAGTCTTGAGAAGTCACTTGTCCCAAGTATTGAGAAGTTCTTGTCCCAAGTTTTGAGAAGTTCTTGTCCCAAGTCTTGCGAAGTCACTCGTCCCAAGTCTTGAGAAGTCACTTGTCCCAAGTATTGAGAAGTTCTTGTCCCAAGTTTTGAGAAGTTCTTGTCCCAAGTCTTGCGAAGTCACTCGTCCCAAGTCTTGAGAAGTCACTTGTCCCAAGTATTGAGAAGTTCTTGTCCCAAGTTTTGAGAAGTTCTTGTCCCAAGTCTTGCGAAGTCACTCGTCCCAAGTCTTGAGAAGTCACTTGTCCCAAGTATTGAGAAGTTCTTGTCCCAAGTTTTGAGAAGTTCTTGTCCCAAGTCTTGCGAAGTCACTCGTCCCAAGTCTTGAGAAGTCACTTGTCCCAAGTATTGAGAAGTTCTTGTCCCAAGTTTTGAGAAGTTCTTGTCCCAAGTCTTGCGAAGTCACTCGTCCCAAGTCTTGAGAAGTCACTTGTCCCAAGTATTGAGAAGTTCTTGTCCCAAGTTTTGAGAAGTTCTTGTCCCAAGTCTTGCGAAGTCACTCGTCCCAAGTCTTGAGAAGTCACTTGTCCCAAGTATTGAGAAGTTCTTGTCCCAAGTTTTGAGAAGTTCTTGTCCCAAGTCTTGCGAAGTCACTCGTCCCAAGTCTTGAGAAGTCACTTGTCCCAAGTATTGAGAAGTTCTTGTCCCAAGTTTTGAGAAGTTCTTGTCCCAAGTCTTGCGAAGTCACTCGTCCCAAGTCTTGAGAAGTCACTTGTCCCAAGTATTGAGAAGTTCTTGTCCCAAGTTTTGAGAAGTTCTTGTCCCAAGTCTTGCGAAGTCACTCGTCCCAAGTCTTGAGAAGTCACTTGTCTCAAGTCTTGAGAAGTCACTGGTCCCCAGTTTTGGGAAGTTACTTATCCCAAGCTTTGAGAAGTCTCTTGTCCCAAGTCTTGAGAAGTCACTTGTCCCAAGTCTTGAGGAGTCACTTGTCCCAAGTCGCGAAATGTCACTTGTTCCAAGTCGTGAGAAGTCACTCTTCGGATGTCTTGAGAAGTCACATGCACCAAGTCTTGAGGAGTCACTTGTCCCAAGTCGTGAGAAGTCACTTGTCCCAAATCTTGAGAAGTCACTTGTCCCAAGTCTTGAGAAGTCACACGTCCCAAGTCTTGAGACGTCACTTGTCCCAAGTCTTCAGAAGTATTTGTCCAAAGTCTTGAGAAGCCACTTGTCTCAAGTCTTGAGAAGTCACTGGTCCCCAGTTTTGGGAAGTTACTTATCCCAAGCTTTGAGAAGTCTCTTGTCCCAAGTCTTGAGAAGCTCGTGTCCCAAGGCATGAGAAGTCATTTGTCCCAAGTCTTGAGAAGTCACTTTGAGAAGTCACTTGTCCCAAGTTTTGAGAAGTACTTGCCCCAAGTCTTGAGAAGTCACTTGTCCCAAGTCGTGAGAAATCAATTGTCCCAAGTCGTGAGAAGTCACTTGTAGCAAGTCGTGAGAAGTCTCTTGTGCCAAGTTT